CCAGTTGTACAAAATTCGGCACGACATAATATATATATAAAATATATATATATATATATATATATATATATAATATATATATATATATATATATATATATAAATATAATATATATATATATGTATATAAAATATATATTATTCGTGGCGAATAGGCAGAACTTGCCATCTTGGCTTAAAATAGCAACGCTCATCTTCCCCATATAGGACAAGCGAAAATTTGTGTATGAAATTTAATTTCGCCAAAATCATTCTGAACGTAACGAAAAAAATATTTTTCCCACTGGTTTGTTTAGTATTAAATTATTGTAAACAAATCTAAAATATATTTAGTTGGGTTAGGCTAAAATAAATTCTCTTTTTTATAATAAGGTTAGGTAAGTTTTTTTTTAAGTTTCTTTTGGAGCAAATTAAAATTTTTTACATTAACATAAATGAAAAAAATATATCTTTAAACGAAATAAGAGAAAATTCAGAAAGGACTTAATTTTGAATGTGTTTCGTGCTAACTGACCATTTTTACATATTCGGCACGACATATATATATATATATATATATATATATATAAATATTATATATAATATATATATATATATATATATAAATATTTATATATATATATAATACATATAATATATATATATATATATATATATATATATATATATATATTATTATATAATATATATATATATAAAATATATATATATATATATATATATATATATATATATATATATATTATATATATATATATATGTCTTTGCCGAATAGGCAGAACTTGCGATCTTGGCTTAAATAGCAACGCTCATCTTCCCATATAGGACAAGTGAAAATTTGTGTATGCAATAATTTCGCCAAAATCATTCTGAACCTAACGAAAAAAAAATGCATTTCACTGTGTTTGCTTAGTATTAAATTATTGTAAACAAATCTAAAATAATTTAGTTGGTTAGGCTAAAATAAACTGTTTTTGTTATAATTTAAAGGGTTAGGTAAGTTTTCTAAGATTCTTTTGGTGCAAAATTAAAAATTTTTACAATAACATTAATGAAAAAAATATATCTTTAAACGTGCAAGTGATAATTTTTGCAAGGACTTAATTTTAAATGAGTTCTTGCTAATTGACCATTTTACATATTTGGCACGACAAAATATATATATTAAATATACATACACACACCATATATATATATATATATATATATATATATATATATATATATTATATATATATATATATATATATATATATATATATATCCAGTGTATAAAGTAAGGGAGGAGGAATTTTGGGTGAGATATAACGACTATTGGGAGAAAGGTGGGCTGTGCAAAGATGATAGTGGGGGGGTTGAAGAGGGTTGGAATAGTTTTTAAAAATCAGTATTAGAATGTGGGGCAGAAGTTTGTGGTTTATAGGAGGGTGGGGGCAGGAGGAAAGAGGATGCCTGGTGGGAAAGAAGAAAAGGGTGTATAAAAGAGAAAAAGGGAGCTTATGAGAGGGTTTTTTCAAAGCAGAAGTGTTTTTAAAAAAAGAGCAGAGTATAAGGAGAGTAAAAGAAAGGGAAAGAAATGGTGATAGAGTGCAAAAGGAGAGCAGATGATAGAGTCGAGAGGCACTGTCAAGAAATTTTAATGAAAATAAGAAAATTTTTTTGGAGTTAAACAAGTTTAAGAAAGCCTAGGAAAGTATGGATTTTTCAGTTAAAAACAGAGTAGGGAATTAGTAGATGGGGAAAGGGAGGTATTAGGTAATGGCGAAAATTTTGAGGAACTTTTAAATGTTGAGGAAGAAAGGGAGGCGGTAATTTCATGCACTGGCCAGGGAGTATACCATCTTTTAGGAGTGAAGAAGAGCAGAATGTAAGTGTGGTGGAGGTACGTGAGGCATTACGTAGAATGAAAGGGGGTAAAGCAGCTGGAACTGATGGGATCATGACAGAAATATTAAAAGCAGGGGGGATATAGTGTTGGAGTGGTTGGTACTTTTGTTTAATAAATGTATGAAAGAGGGGAAGGGACCTAGGGATTGGGGGGAGAGCAGTATAGTCCCCTTTATATAAAGGGGAAAAGGGGGCAAAGAGATTGTAAAAATAAAAGAGGAATAAGTTTACTGAGTATACCAGGAAAAGTTTTCGGTAGGGTTATAACTGAAAGAATTAAGATAAGACAGAATGTAGGATTGCAGATGAGCAGGAGGCTTTAGAGTGGGGAGGGGATGTGTAGATCAAGTGTTTACATTGAAGCATATAGTGAACAGTATTTAGATAAAGGTAGGGAAGTTTTTTTTTGCATTTATGGATTTAGAAAAGGCATGTGATAGAGTGGATAGAGGAGCAATTTTGACAGATGTTGCAAGTATATGGAATAGGTGTAAGTTACTAAATGCTGTAAAGAGTTTTTATGAGGATAGTGAGGCTCAGGTTAGGGTGTGTACAAGAGAGGGAGAAAACTTCCCGGGAAAAGTAGGTCTTTGACAGGGATGTGTAATGTCACCAAAGGTTGTTTAATATATTTATAGATGGTGTTGTAAAAGAAGTAAATGCTAGGGTGTTCGGGAGAGGGGTGGGATTAAATTATGGGGAATTAAATACAAAATGGGAGGTGACACAGTTACTTTTTGCTGATAATACTGTGCTTATGGGAGATTCTAAAGAAAAATTGCAAATGTTAGTAGACGAATTTGGGAGTGTGTGCAAAGGTTGAAAGTTGGAAGTGAACATAGAAAAGAGTAAGGTGATGAGAGTATCAAATGATTTAGATAAAGAAAAATTGGGTATCAAATTGAGGAAGAGGAGTATGGAAGAAGTGAATGGTTTCAGATATTTGGGAGTTGACGTCTCAGAGGATGGATTTATGAAGGATGAGGTTAATCATAGAATTGATGAAGGAAAAAAGGTGAGTGGTGCATTGAGGTATATGTGGAGGCAACAAATGTTATCTGTGGAGGCAAAGAAGGGAATGTATGAAAGTATAGTAGTACCAACACTCTTATATGGGTGTGAAGCTGGGTTAAAATGCTGCAGCGAGGAGGCGGTTGGAGGCAGTGGAGATGTCCTGTCTAAGGGCAAAGTATGGTGTAAATATTATGCAGAAAATTCGGAGTGTGGAAATTAGGAGATGGTGTGGAGTTAATAAAAGTATTAGTTAGAGGGCTGAAGAGGGTTTGTTGAGGTGGTTTGGTCATTTAGAGAGAGTGGATCAAAGTAGAATGACATGGAGAGCGCATAAATCTGTTGGGGAAGGAAGGCGGGGTAGGGGTCGTCCTCGAAATGGTTGGAGGGAGGGGGTAAAGGAGATGTTCTGTGCGAGAGGTTTGGACTTCCAGCAAGCGTGCGTGAGCGTGTTAGATAGGAGTGAATGGAGACGAAGGGTATTTGGGACCTGACGAGCTGTTGGAGTGTGAGCAGGGTAATATTTAGTGAAGGGATTCAGAGAAACCGGATATTTTTATACAGCCGAACTTGAGTCCTGGAAAATGGGAAGTACAATGCCTGCACGCTAAAGAGGGGTTTGGGATATTGGCATTTGGAGGATATATTGTGTATGTTGTTTGTTGTATTCTGGGCACCTCAAAAACAGTGATTATGTGTGATGATAATATAAATATATATATATATATATATATATATATATATATATATATATATATATATATTATATATATATATATAATATATAAATAATATATATATATATAAAATATTATATATATAATATAATATATATATATATATATAAAATATAATATATATATATTATATAATTCTTTCTTTCTTTCACACGACCGCCGTATCCCACCGAGGCGGGGTGGCCCAAAAGAAAAACGAAAGTTTCTCCTTTTACATTTAGAATATATACAGGAGAAGAGTTACTAGCCCCCTTGCTCCCGGCATTTTAGTTGCCTCTTACAACACGCATGGCTTACGGAGGAAGAATTCTGTTCCACTTCCCCATGGAGATAAGAGGAATAAACAAGAATAAGAACTAGAAAGAAAATAGAAGAAAACCCAGAGGGTGTGTATATATGTGCTTGTACATGTATGTGTATAGTGTGACCTAAGTGTAATAGAAGTAGCAAGACGTACCTAATCTTGCATGTTCATGAGACAGAAAAAAGACACCAGCAATCCTACCATCATGTAAAACAATTACAGGCTTTCGTTTACACTCACTTGGCAGGACGGTAGTACCTCCCTGGCGGTTGCTGTCTACCAACCTACAACCTATATATAAAATATATATATATATATAATAAATATTATATATATATATATATATATATAAAAATATAATATATAATTTGTTTAATTTAAGAAGGGTAAAAGAGTAGTCTTCCTCTCTTAGAACTCGGGGTTATTTTTACCTTCATCGCCACGTACCTTACTGGGAGATATCTACTGGTGCTTACTTAGAGATCAGTAGTGTCACTACTCCTGACTCTTCTCCCAGTAGTAGTCCTCTGGGATTGCTTGTTATGTTTTATTGCCTAGACTGATTTCTGTTTAAATTGCCTACTCACGTGCCTCTATGCCTTAATTTAACCTATGTGTCCTCTGGTCGAGGACAGATGTTCGTCATTCTAGCTTTATGGACCACAAGCAGCTGTCTGCGGAAGAAAGGGCTCTGTTTCTTGACACAAGCTCCGAGTTGCTCTTTAACTAGCATCAACATCGCCTTATTGCTGTACTGGGAAGTTGTCTAGTGAATTACCACTGTCTGAACATCAAGACTTCTTCAATATTCTATGTATCACTATAAATCTCGACGGAGCTTTCACCATAATTTATTTTTATTTTTCTATTTTGCATCAGTAAGGTTTACTTAGGCTATATTTTTCTGTTTATTGCTGAAATAAACTTACCTTTTTTCTTCACTATTTATATAATTATTTGATGAAAACAATGGGTAATCCTTCTATATATAATGGTTATAAATAACCATATTGCCATTTTAAATTCATTCTGAAAACTTTATAAGGATGTTCATTGTTTCAGCGTGGAGATGCTTGAGGTACCAGCCAGACCCTACGTTCCCACGGTGATCCACGCTGGCGGCATCCACTGTAGACCAGCCAAGCCTCTACCACAGGTTAGTTCAACTAGGTAAACAACTATATGTTAACAAAATTTAATTGTTTGTTAACATTTATTTATAAAGCTTCGGCTTTTTCTTATGTCAGGATTCTTTTTTTACAAGTTATATCGTTATACAATATAATATAAATATCAGTAATTAGTTTCATTAAGAAAGTTATTGATTTATCACCGAAAAGTTATTCTTCAATATATATATTTAACAATGATGTTCTTAGAATATCCCTACTGGAAAATATATATTTTTTCATATTCAGTCACCATTGGCAGATACATATGTATGAATGGATATATATATATATGTCGTGCCGAATATGTAGAACTGGTCAGTTAGCAAGAACTCATTTAAAATTAAGTCCTTTCTAAAATTTTCTCTTATAAGTTTAAAGATATATTTTTTTCATTAATGTTTATGTACAAACTTATAATTTTGCACCAAAAGAATCTTAGAAAACTTACCTAACCTTATTATAACAAGAACAATTTATTTTAGCCTAACTCAACTAAATATATTTTAGATACGTTTACAATAATTTAATACTAAACAAACACAGTGAAATATATTTTTTTTCGTTAGGTTCTGAATGATTTTGGCGAAATTATTGCATACACAAATTTTCACTTGTCCTATATGGCAAGATGAGCGTTGCTATTTAAGCCAAGATCGCAAGTTCTGCCTATTCGGCACGACATATATATATATGTATATATATATATATATATATATATATATATATATAATATATATATATATATATATATATATATATATATATATATTAGTATTTATATCATTGATCAAGTTTTTAACGTACCGGACGTCTCCCAACAAGGCTAGGTGACATGAAAAGAAAGAATATTTACATTTATATAATATATATTAAAATCAATGATCTGTATTTTTTTCGTTGTGCGCGTATCGAATTTCGCCGAGTTATCATTTAAAAAATTCAATTTTAACTCTGTATTCGATAGAAAACGCCCTTGCCTTTTAGGTCAATTTCACCGGTTCGTCTTATTCGGCACGACATGTAGTATATATACCAAACTAGCATGATGTTCACTTTCGTGTATGTCATGGTAGCTTGGCAGCATTCTACCAGGGGTTTTGACTTTTGTAAAAAACGTCATGAAAACAATTGTATGTGAAAAACGTTCTGATAACTGGCGGTTATTCGTCGACACAAGCAGGCTCAGCCTTAATTAAAGCAATGCTTCTCCACAACTGTTGCGATAATCTATCTATGCATGTTACACACACTGTCCATGGAAATTTACTAAAGTTTGCAAAATACGGTGATTACTAGTGGAACATATGAAGTAACTTAAAAGTAATAGGCTTAATGGTTGGTTTGTAGCTTAGTTACCTGAAATTTATATGTTCTTAATGCTTGTAGATTAGTCGAGATGATGAAAATCATTGAGAATTTAGAATGACCAGCAAGAACAGGAATATGAACACCGGAAATATAAAAAAAACAGGTAATATAAAATTGGTCGAAATATAAAATTTTGTAAGGGCAATGAGTGTTAGAGTTTTAACTAATACCAAACTGAATGATCGATACCATGCCTAACCCTTCTAGGGTAGGGTAGGTGCCTGAGCCCGAGCCTTTAGCTCATAAGACTGTCATTCCCATTTACCCTCTTGGGGCGGGGATGGCAGACCAGAGAGGCCTAGCTTGTGGCTAGGCCTGGGGACGGTTGGTCCCAAAGATGAGGAGGTACTTGTGCCTCCTCCCATGGGAGACTTAGGTCTCAGACACTCCCTAAAGAGGGAGCCAAGGCCGGGCCACCACTTGGAAAAGGCCCGGGCCGGGAGAATACCGGCTAATCTTTAAAAATAATAATAATAATAAATAATAATAACCAAACTGAATGTTGGTATAAATGTTGGCCCATAAATTCTGAGGTTATTTTCCCATTCTGTCTTCCAGTCAAAACAAAACCCACTGGATGTGGCTTCATGGAGGCTTTCAAATTAGTAGTTCACAGTTTCCTATAAACAATAAAGCTGATCACTATGCCGAGTTGACTGAAAATATGATAAACGCGCTTCGTGGTTAAAATTATATTTCCTTCATTCACTCAATGGTACTGTGACAGAGGAGATTTGTGAAACTTTCCACCGAGTTATAAAAAATAATAAAGAGAGAAATCGTTGTTAGTCATGTCATTAAAAGGAGGTTTTTAAGCATTTCCAAACAATTAATATATATTTTATCCCGAGTGTTTATTGTGTTCAATTTTCTTGAATTTATGTTAACAGATGCTCCATATTGGATGATACGTTTATTTTGCTCACTGTAATTATATTCTGCAATGTATTTAGAGCGTGTAATATTTTTTACAGTAATAAATAACTAAAATCATGGCATACTGATTTAAGTTTGACTTAAGTGTTGGAACCTGCATTCTCGACTTAATGAAGACAATTATATTCACTTCAGCAGGAGAGGATTTTTTTTTTTAGTGCAATTCGTGTTTCCCTTTAAAAAAAATATTTATATATCAGCTCTATAAATGTCTTTGTTTACGTCGATGCATCGCTCGATGTTCAAAATCAAGTTTTTCTTAACTGCTTGGTTTAAACCACTAGGACCTTGAAGCTTGGGTGGCAGATTCAGGTGACGCAGGTTTTATTTTCTTCACCCTTGGAAGTGTTGTTCAGACATCAACTATACCAGAGAAGTAAGTGAACTCTATAAAGCTACATGATTTTTAATGATTATTTAAAATTATAGTCTTCTTAATACTGCTCGTCAAATGACACTAAATCTTTGTTTCTTAGGTAAATTTGTAAATTTTATATACAAGTCATCCAGGTTATATGTAATAAGAGCATCTCTTACACATACATTTATTTTTGTTCCGACAGTTTGAGTTAGTTTTGGACTTTATTATTTTTCTTAAATAAATATGGATTTTAATTTGTGTGTGATAACTTGTGAATAACTCTTTTTATTTACCTCATATATCCAATGCAACTATAGAATATAATTTGAAACTTTTTCCGCACCTTGATAATTCATGTCACTTGAAGTGAGATATAGGAGGTTAGGGTTACGAAACAGGGGATCCTTTACTCAGATCTTGCAGCCACCGAAATACTTCAAGTTATATACCACTTGGTGCGACCTACCTTGAGTTGTATATCAGGTATGACCTACCATTAAGAGTGTCTCTTAAATAACAGCTGCCTTTACCGGGTACTCATTGGCAGTATTTCTTTTTTCTGTATCATATAAGAAGAATAGAAGGATCGCTGGCGGGATGGGAAATAATAGAATGATCGCTGGCAGGATGGGAAACACTGTAATGAGTTTCATGAAGCTCTAAATCCATATGAATCATTCATTCACAGGTACTGAATTAGACTTATTGCTTTAGTATTTCTCTTTGAATATATTGCTAATATACAGAAAATTAAAAATCCATGTTCATTTGGAAATGCATTTTTTATCCAATTGCGTTGTGTCTATTACTTAATATTGACTTTAAATACCCTTTCATTATCAACTTTGTTGTCTCACCATCATGACGTCCTCTTACCCATATCTAAGAAACATCCTTCCTTGATCTGCGCCATTTCATCATTTATTTTGTTGACAGAGTAATTTTCTCATGACCTAATGTAATTTGTATCGCTTTTTAAACTTGGTCATTTTCGTGTTGAAATTACTATGGCAGGCACAGACTGGTGCTGTTGAAGGTGTTTGCGTCCCTGAAGCAGCGGATCCTCTGGAAGTGGGACCAGGACACGATGGACGACCTCCCGCCCAACGTGCGTCTTGCCAAGTGGCTTCCACAGCAAGATATTCTCG